TTTTTCTCTCTGCATATTTTCTGTATAGTTCATTTTGATCTATATGTATGTAAACGTAGTTAGCGAGTAGATGCGTGTGAATGTGTTCAGTAAATAAATCTCCTCTTCATTACGGGTTAATGAGTCTCCGAGTCGCAGCGCTGCAGAAAACAAAGCGGACGTCTTCATTTCTCACTTCTTCAGCGTTTAGATACTCCTCTGTTCAGGTCAGTGTGGGACCGTCAGCGTTATTTATAGCTCAGTAATGCTAAATATATAAACTGCACATCATCTCTGGCGTCTGCTCACTGTTCAGATCATCACACACATACGTTATATTAATAATCAAATAATTATGCAAATATAAATAACATTACAATTGAAATAAAATAGGGAGAAAAGTCTCTGGCAGCAAGTTATAAATGCAGGAAAACATTTATTTATGTTTTATTATATTTTATAAATATTATAAATATTATTTTATTTATTATTTATGTATTTAATTATTAGTTAATATATTGTTACTAAAAATAAAATTACACTCTAAAATTAATGGAAATAAAACGTTTTTCTGCAGCAAATAAATCAAAAGCTTTAATATTTCATTTTTTGAGAGTGTTTGGCAACATACAACAGTATTGTCATATTACTGCAATAATACAAATGGTTTCCAATATATATGGGGTTGCTAGGCTGTTGTGACCAGTTGCTGAGGAGTTGCTTTGTGATCTTTCTAACTTTACGAATGGTTGCTGTAATGCAGGGGTGTCAAACTCAAATCCTGGAGGGCCGCAGCTCTGCACAGTTTAGTTCCAACCCTAATTAAACACACCTGATCAAACTCATTGAGTCCTTCAGGCTTGTTTGAAACCCACAGGTAAGTGTGTTGGAGCAGGGTTTGCACAAAACTGTGCAGGACTGCGGCCCTCCAGGAATTGAGTTTGACACCCCTGCTGTAATGTATCATGTTGTCGTGTGGTTGATAGTTTATTGTAGATGGTTGCTTCTTTAGCCATGGTGTTGTTAATGGTTGCTTTTGGAGCTGCTGGTGTGTTGCTGGTGGTTGCTTGGTGTTGCTGTTCGTTTAGTAAAGCAAATTTTAACAAGACTCAAAAACATGTCAGAATGCTGCAAACTCAGTGCGGGAGGGTTGACAGTGTTTTCTGTAAGCTGAGGGTCTAAACTTTGGTTACTGTGGATAATTTCAGTACAGTATAAGACATGTGGACACTCCTGCTGTAAGATCTGCTGTCTCTCTGTCTCTGTGTTTCTCTTCAGGGGAATCTAGTTCCAGTCCAGCTGAATCCGCTCACACACACACACACACACACACTCGACACAATGGCTTCATGCAACATTACAGTCCAATCTCTGGAATTACAACATCAAAGCCAAAAAGTAACAAGATGTGAAATTTAAAGTCGCTAGTATTTACCGGCAGACAACGGCTTCATTTCTCGCTTGGGGCGTTAAAAAAAGAAAGAGCTCAGCAAACAGCGGTCTGAAATAAACGGAGCGGCGCAGCAGGGGTGAAATGAGAATTTCCTTGTGCTGTTTGTCTGAGAGAGACGACTGACAGACCAATGACCTTATAATGAGCAACAAGCACACAATCCCACCTGCAGCCGTCAGCGCAGATCCCCCTGATGACATCTGCATGTCCCGTTCACTGATCTCCACCGTACTGTAGGCTCTGTCATGATCTCTGACGGCCGCAGGGCTCTACAGTCACGGCCGGCATCCTAACACTCACTACTGATTTAAAAGGTTCGACATGTAAGCAAGTGTTGACCTAGTAACACACCAATGATACCTTAGCAACCAATTAATGACAACTTAGCAACCCCCAAACCCCCAGTTTCACCTAGTAACCTCCCAGTGGCACCTTAGCAACCAACAAACACCCAATGGGACTAAGTAACTTTCCAGCGGCACCTTAGCAAACACTAGGTAGGACCTAGTAACCACCAAACACCCTATTGACACTTGGTAACCCCCAGTGGCACCTTAGCAGCCACCTAACACCTAGTGACATCTACTAACCAACTAGGGGCACCCTAGCAACCACCAAACACCCAGTGACACCTAGTAACCTCCCAGTTGCACCTTAGCAACCAGCAACAACCAAAGAAACACATTTGGAACCACCCAGTGATACCTAGCAACTTCACAGTGGTAGCTTAGAAAGCACAACAAATTCAGTGGCACATTAGCAACCTCACAGTAACAGATTAGCAACTATCAACCTCCTAGTGACACCTTAGCAACCTCCTAGTTGAATTTTAGCAACAACCAACCTCCAGGGACACATTAGTAACCACCAAAAAACCAATGACACACTATTAACCTCCTAGTGAAACATTAGCCACCATCAACCAACCAGTGACACCTTAGCAACCTCCTAATGGCCCTTTAGCAACCGTCAACCAGCTAGTGACACCTTAGCAACCTCCAAGTGTCATCTTACCAACCATCAACCACCTAGTGACACCTTGGCAACCTCCTAGTGGCACTTTAGCAACCATCAACTACCCAGTGACAACTTAGCTACCTCCTAGTGTCTCTCTTTAGCAACCATCAACCAGCTAGTGACACCTTAACAACCTCCTAGTGTCATCTTACCAACCATCAACCACCTAGTGACACCTTGGCAACCTTCTAGTGGCACTTTAGCAACCATCAACTACTCAGTGACACCTTAGCAACCTCCTAGTGTCACTTTAACAACTATCAACCT